AATGCAGGAAGCAAGAAAGAGGGATATGTTATTTTACTAAATGTCAAAAGCAAGTTCCTTTTTTCAAATCACGTTCAGGCTAGCTCTGCACTGGGGAAAGATCACTGAGTTATTGGCAATGTATTGTATTTTGGGAAATTGCTAAGTGTGGGTCTAATCTACTCTTATGCACCACACAAAGTTACCTGTGAAAGCAGTATATATGGGAGCTTGTTTAAATGTAATAATATTGCCATGTATATAAAAATATGTTATATATTTTAAGTACATACAATTTAAAAATCTATTTCTAGAAATTAACATGAACCATGCAAAAAGAGAAATTAGTAAATTATAATACAAATGTTATATTCTGCTATAAACGGAAATTTTAATATTAATCTATGAGGAGTTCTCATATTGGGAAAAGCATTCCTGGGATGAAAATGTTTCTATCTTAAGACATCCTTTGAAAACAAAGATATCATTGTTTTTTCCCATCAAAACAAAATCTGTTTTCTAGAGTAAATATCATTTAAGTATTCTTATTATGGAGCCAGTAAAAACTTTTTATGAAAGTGATTTTAAAATGCTAAAGCTTGAGAGCAGTCAATATCCAGTCAATAATCGAGCTTATTAGTGACGTCAGAAAGCGAGTAGGGAAGCTCTGGCTTGTTTACACGTCAGCTAGAGAGCGACTGAGTGGCAGCAGGAGCAGTTCCCCACACATGCAATAGCTTCATTCAGAGATATGCTTTGATCACAATCATAATTTGGTAATTAATTCAGAAATTAATAATAGTTTATGAAAAGTCAGCTTAATAAAAGGAAAAAAGAAAAATTACTCAGTTTGCTACAAAAATAGTACCATGAGCTCATAATATCTTCATGTTTTCCTTCTGTTTACAGCTGGTAGCTAGGAAAAGTCCTGGACACAGTGGGGGGAGAATTATCAGATGAGCAGGTCTTCTTCATGAAGGCCTGCAGCTTTCGTCTGCCTTACCAGCCTCTCTCATGGCCAAAGACTGCCAAACTCACATTAAGGCCACAGTTCCCATGCCCAGGTCTTGCTCTGTCTTGTCCTTCTGCCATATGATGAAAAGTAGCAAAAAGGATGTTATGAAACATGCATGCCTTTACCTCGGGTCTCCAGCCTTCAGACATTTAAATGCCTTTCTGTTCTTTCCATATTATTCCAGCTCAAGTATTCTGTTACAGTATACACTGGCTAAACCACAGATATACAAAACTACTTTATCACCATGGCATTTCACACTACTGTGATTATTAATCCTGCTTGTTTCTGTGATGGGCTTCTGAATCATCACTGCAGGTCTGTGAGGCATTTCTAGACTGACTGGGTCAACTAGAATAGAACCTGACATGGGGCCATAGCTCTGTAGCATTCCTCTCCCTCTCTTCGTAATTGTGGGCACAATGTGACCAGCTGCCCAAAATCCTGCAGCATTCCCTCCATTCGGTGGGTAACTGCAAACCATGAGCAAAAATAAACCCTCCCTTCCTTAAACTGATTTTTTGTTTTTTTTTTTCTAGAAACAGAAAAGTAACTAATAATAAATTGGTACAAGTAGCAGTGTCATTGCTGTGATAAACCTGAGTATGTGGCTCATAGGGCTTTGGAACAGTTTTGTAGGAAGAATGTGGAACTTGGGGTAGACCAGCACTTGAAGGCTGTAAGCAGAGACTATCAGGCCATTCTGGTCAGACACTGGAAGATAGGAGAGCTAAAAAAAAAATGTGTACATGGAGGATCAGCTCATGAAATTTCAGAAAGAAGCAAGGGCTGTGCTGGGGTTTGGGCTAGTGTCTATTCATGTGGTAACGACAGCAAGAGTCTGGCCACATTCTGCCTGTTTCCCGAAAACCTGAGTGCGGCTGGATACAGAAGAATCAGACTAATTTGTATGGTGGAGGAAAGACCAAGGCAGGGTAGCATTCTGGCTGTGAGCCGCTCTTCCCTTGTCTAGTAAAGATGAATGATACAGAAAATATGTGGTGTGTTAAGGAAACGAGCATTGACCAGTTTCCAATCACAGAAGAGGCAGGCACAAAACAGCGGAAATTGCTTCAGATATCAATGACATAAAGAGAAACCTGGACTCTACACTGGGGCAATGGAAATATTTTAAGGGTAAAACCTAATCTATCAAGATTCCTTGAGAAAATGCAAGTGTATTTGAAAGTAGAGAGACTAAACTGAGAATATCAACAAAGGGATTCTAAGCTCTAAAGGAACTACCTAGGCGTTTGCTTTCCTAGGGTCAGATGCTGATATCACTGGGATCCAAGGGAGTCAGGCTCCACACACAAATGCCCTCTGAACTTGGCAACTTTGCTCACTTGGTATGGTTTTGCAGGTATAGAAGATGGAGGCATAGGGGTGTCAGGATGGTGTCACACCAGAGTTCTAGAGAGCTGCTGAAGAGAGGCCACTTTATAAACTAAGAAAGGATAAAATGCAGTGGATAGCCCAGAATCTGGAAGATGCCAAGAGCTTGAAAAATTCACTGAAGAAGTCTGAAGGTCAATATTGCAGTTGGTCCAATGCTCTGTGTGCTCCAGGTTACAGAGCTGGAGGGAAGGGGCTACTCAAATCTTTACTGAGATGATTCTATCATGAGCCCCAGATGCAGGACTTGAAGCTGCAGCATTTAGTGTCTGCATCAGCCAGGTCATTACTATCCCACCAGACTTCCTTTATGGAATGGGTTGGATATTCTGTACCATTGTATATTGGAAGTACATTAGTTAAGAGATTGCCTGGATTGTCAGATGAGAGTTGGACTTTGGGGTTTTAAATAGCATGGGGCTGCTAAGTTTTTATGGATTTTTGAAGCTGTACTGAATGTACTTTGGATTATGGGACAACCATGGGCCTATGAAGTCAAAAGGTGGAAGGTTATGTTTTTAAAATGACATGTTTGGGTGTCAAGATGACAAAATCTGGAGATGAAATGGTTCATATTGATTTCTCCATTGATGGTACCTAGAATCCCATGAAAATAACTTCTGAACATGTCTGTGAGAATTCTCTATATTGGGTAGCTTTTCTAGAATGGAACCATGCAATGGGCTGTGATCCCAGAGTGAACTATTAAAAACAAACAAACAAACAAAGCAACAACAACAACAAAAAACAAGTAACAGGATTCTGTTGTCAAATATTTGTACACTGTGTGAAGGTGTATTGCTGTGATTGGTGTAGTAAAAAAGCAGAATAGCCAATAGGCAGGAGGGATATGTGGGTCTTCCTGCAGAGTGAGGAACGAGGAAGAGGAGGAATCTAGAGGTGTGAGGAGAGAAAACAGGAGATGCAAGATGAAAGAAAGGTAAAAAGCCACATGGTAAAACACAGATTAATAAAGGCAGGCTAATTACATTATGAGAGCTAGTGGGACAAGCCTAAGCTAAAGACGAGCTTTCATAATTCATAAGGCGTCTCCGTGTCATTATTTGTGAGCCAGCGCCCAAAGAAAAATCCAACTCCAGCATTCCTTCCATTCTGTTTTCTTGCAATGAATGGAATGTGATCAACCTCGAACACCCGCCATCCAGAATTTCCTGTACCCTTAAACTGTAAGCCAAATAAACCGCTCCTTTCTTAAGGCGCAGGTCCTTTTCTGCCACTAAAATCTCATGAGCCACAGATAAATGCTATGACCATCCTGGCTGTGAACCTTGGCAGATGTCATAAAAGAAACTTCGTAGGAACTTTGGATTTGACTCTAAAGCTGATTTCTAAAGGTGCCAAATAGACTTAAATTTGATATACAAGGTTCAATTGGTTAAAACCTTTAGATGCACAGGGTGGTAGTGGTGCACACATTTAATTCTGGCACTCGGGAGGCAGAGGCAGCCTGGTCTACAAAGCTAGTGCCAGGACAGGCTCCAAAGCTACACAGAAAAACCCTGTCTCAAAATAAAAATAAAAAAATAAAAAATAAAAAACTATTCTAAATACAAAATAAGAGATAAATACAGTAGCCTATACTAAATACAAAATTAGAGATTACATTGCTATTTTTCTAGACACTTTGCCACTTTGGACAATATTTTTAGTAACACCAGCATTTGAAAAGAAGTTTTACATAACAACAGCAAATAAAATATCTAAGTCTAGAGAAAACAGACATACAGTCCCAAGTTTGGCTTCATGACCTTTCAAATTTACTATGGAGAAAAGCGAGGTACTTTAAGTAAAAGTGATCTTTCAATGTGTGAGTTTTTCCTAGCTGGTGATAAATGATGCAGTACTCTTCCTCAGTCCTGGACAGGGCAGGGACTCAGGGCTTCCTGCTGCACATGCTAACAGGACGGTTCAATCCAGCGTGTTTTCAGACACAGCTCCTGATGAACCCATTGAGGATCATCTGTAGAGTAATTCACCCTTGGGTTTCCACATATTGTTTTAATGACTGGACGTCAGGGTTTCATTTTATGTTTGCAGTAAACAGAATCTATTAATGTTCCTTGTCACATTCATACTCCACATAATCACACACTTAACTGTCTCTCAGACTCACCGGACTATGAACTCTTTGAAGACATAATAAAAAAAAAGCAAGTTAGGTATTCTTTATGTAAAAGGCTTGAGATCGGCAGTGTTTTATATTTTGGACCTATTGGGGGCTACAATATCTGTACATACTACTGAGACACTTTACAGACATCAACTATCCGAATACCATATTCTTTGGACAGCTTCACACAAAGTCCAATGGTAAATTTAGCTAACATTTTAAGAATATTATGAAAAGCTTATGCTTTGTATGTGACCAGGTACATGAGATTATTTGTAGGGCATTCCAGGTCTGTATCAAGATGGAATTTTCATACTAGGGATATCTAGTTCTCCATTGACAGCCATTGAGTGTACATTGCTCTCGCTTGATCAATAATGCTAATTTTCTTATAAGAAAAATACTAATGGTTCAAGTTACTCCTAAAGAATTTGTTCAAATGATGTGACCTGAGACTGGAGGCACAAAGGGCATCCTTACCTGGGAAAGATTATGTTTCTCTCTGTCTCCTCCCTTTTCACTGTGTAATGTGTAAACTGGTGTATACTGTACCAAACCAGAACAGGTCCCATAATCTTCCTCATTGTCCTACACATGAAGAAAAGCAAAATTATTTTGCAATAATCCACTCTTAATTAAGGTTATTTGATTAATAAAGTATCTGTTAAACATGCAAAGAAAAAATAAAACCTTAGTTATAATTTTAAAGAATCTTCAAAAGAAGAAATAATGATTTTCTATAGTATGATTTAAAAACTTAAAAAATAATCCATACTTTGACTTGAAATGAAATTTATAAAGATAAATGTTTACCATTACGACAATGGAAGATTTTAAGTAGTTTGTTCTCAACTCAAAACACAGTTGTTAATAAAACTGCAAGCATGTAATGTGTAACCAAAGCAAACACACAAATATGGAAATAGAAACATTTGCATGATACCTTCAATACTCATGGGTTCAAAATCCAATTATTGTATGTGACCTTTTATAAATTAGGAACATTCTTCAATGTAGTAACTACCATTGGAATGAACCTATAAAACCAAAGGGTGGCATTTCTTGATTAATTCCAACCCAAAGATACTTTCTTAAAAATAGTCAGCTTGAAGAAAGATCTTCAGTAGTACGTTAAAGGCAATCACTTTTATGATACCTGTTAAAAGTATCTTTGAAGATCTCCACATTCTGTGATAAAATATGCAAACAATAAAGGGATTATTCAGTGGATTTATATAGAATATCAGAGAGTTAGTTGCCAGAGGGCTTGTTATAAAAATACATTCTTGAACAAAGAGAAAAGCATATTTCTAAATATGCTTTTAAAATATAAATAAGCCATTAAAACATAAATCTCACACGGTTTGTAGAGTAGGGACTGCAAAGTCATAAAATCAGGGGGAAATAAATAGCCTGAGAAGATGGCACACCTTGTGTTTCAGCTTACTCTTCACCTCTCGTAGTCCCAGTCTGGCCTGGCTCTTTGCCTAGAAGATGAGAGTAAGTGCATTTAGCTTCAGGTGCTTCTATTACTGTTTACTAGATAAATATAAATATATTTATTGGTATATCTCAAATATATCTAGTTTTTATTTTTTCACTTATTTGTTATCTCAAATAAGCATTGCTAACTATCCATATTTGTTAGAAAAGAAGCAAATTATACCCCAACATTATTTCCAAGGATGCCATTTAGTTACTATTTTATTAAGCCTAAATTGTTGATAAAAACAGGCCAATATGTACTGTGTTGCATACAAACACACAAAGGTTAACATTCAGCCTAGAATCAGTCCCTTATTAATTTAAAATTATCACCAATGAGAAAGAGAGACAAAGGAAATCACAGCATCAAATTATTTGGGCAAATATTTACATATCAAGAAATTCAAGCAATTTTAGAGAGGATTACTAAAGTGCTGTGTCAGACAGAGATTTACTAGCACAGGTATCATAATGGTGTGGGCTTGTGGCTAGTTCACACAGATATTTGCCAAAGTCATTGAAAATTTTCACACTATCCTCACATATCTCTGGGATTTGGCCTTACGATTGAAGGTCTCCAATCTGGCTGCAAATTAGGGGGTGCAACTTAAAATAACTGGGACTTTGTTGGCGGAGACTTTGTTGTACCAGAGATTTCTACTCACAGTGTTGGTTGTAAACAGAGGGAGGGAGGCCTCATTTGTTTTGTGTTTCCTGACTGTGCTGGCTGCTCAGATACATGGCACTGTTTATTGTCACAACCTCAAGACTACACTGCTATCAAGACACGTTATAAAGAAGGACAGTGACCGAGGAAGACTAAGTCTATGTAGCCTAGATTCAAATCTGGGCTATATTTAGTTATGAACTCTAACTCCTCCCCTTTTCAAAGACGAAGGAGCAAATAATGTTTTTAAAATACACAAGTATTTTAAGCATCACCAAAAAGAGGGCGGCATAAGTCTTATCTACAGACACACAGTCTGGATGTCAGCTCCAAAGCCTTTGCCCCCACTAACCTGTGTAGCTTGATAAGCTGTTTTTTTTTAATTGAAAAAAGAATTTCCGCCTCCTCCCAGCCTCCCATTTCCCTCCCCCTCCTCCCACTCCTCTCCCTGTCCCCCTACTCCTCTCCCCCTCCCTCTCCAGTCTGAAGAGCAGTCAGGGATCCTTGCCCTGTGGAAAGTCCAAAGTCTTCCCCCCTCCATCCTGGTCTAGGAAGGTGAACATCCTAACTGGCTAGGCTCCCACAAAGCCAGAACATGAAGTAGGATCAAAACCCAATGCCATTGTCCTTGGCTTCTCAGCAGCCCTCATTGTCCGCCATAGCTGTTTTTAAGGGAAGTTAAAACATGACTCTCAAGTTGCCCATTAACAAGTGTGAAGCCCAGAAGACCAATGACATACAGATAAACACTCAAGCAAAGTTAAGAAATGAATGCAACAATTATTTCTGTATTATTTAAAACAAACTGAAATACATTACAGTAAAGATAATTTCAGAAGCCATTTAACACTGAAATATATCCTCCAGGTTTTCATTATTTTTTAGAGTCAATAAAGACATTTAATTCTTTATTTTATTTGTAAAACAACTAAACCAAAGGCTCCTATTTTCATCCCTATGTTGTGATTGGTTAAAGTATATAATTATTAAGGAAAAATGCTTTTCTTCTCTCTTAGAATTGAGGCCAGAGTTGCTTTGCTCATACTATTCTCTAGTTGGCACAAGTATTTCCTAACCTGTCACACTGTTTTCAGATCGTCCCTAGTATAGAAAATTGAACCTATTGTTGGTCTCTTACACAGTTTCCAAATTTGTCCACCAGTTAATTCTAAAGTCAGCCTGGAAGATGGAATAATATTTGCATCTCCCTTGCAGCTTACACAAAGTTGTGTGTTTAACTAATAAAATGATCTAACAAAAAAGATACTAAGATCATTTAGCCAGATCAAGCATTTCATCTGGTGGCGCTTCTTTTGTTTATGACTGTGTGTCTGTTGCCTCTTAGTTTTGTTTATGGTTCCTATTTGCATGGAAAAGAACAAATTTGGTGAGCTTAGAAAATTTCTCAGCCAGATATAATATAGAAAACCTTATAACTGCAAGACAAAAATCATATCCACTTTAATGAAATCACAGACAGTAACAGTTGGGCTGTGATGTAACACCATTCTGAGTGTCTCTCTCCCAGTACCTTTCATGTTCTCTACTCTAACTCAAGGTGAGCACAAGTCCAAACTCAAAATAGTTGTCTTGGGGTCTCTATGACTGTGGTAAAACACCATGACCAAAAGCAACTTAGAGAGGAAAGGGTTTATTTCATCTTGCAGCTTGAAGTTTAGCAACCAGGGATGTCAGGGCAGGACCTCAGGCAAAGCAGGATGCTGAGGGCAGGAACTGATACAGAGGCTATGAAGGAATGCTGCTAGCTGGCTTGCTTCTCATGGCTTGTTCAGTCTATCTTACATCATCCATAAACTACCTTCCCGGGTACACTGCCCACAGTGGCCTGGGCCCTACTATCAATCATCAATCAAGAAAATGTGTTGCAGGCTTGCTCACAGGCCAATCTGGTGAACATACTTTCTCAACTGAGGTTCCTCTTGCCAAATGACTAGTTAGTGGGCAATCAAAGTGCTTTTTAAATAAATAACTGAAGTAAAAACATGTCTCATAGTTTTGAAAAAATAGCCATTTAGACTGAAGCTAGGTAAACAAATGCTGTAGTATCCATATAACAGAAACGAGGACCGATGTTTCTTGCAATTTATGGTCAAACAAGAAATTTCAACATATAAATTTCAAAATATGGACATTCCAGAAGGATCAGCTTGGGGTAAGAAATATGACAAAAATGATTTATTCATGTTCTTCAAACCTTTTAATTTATGAGATGTGATCACAAGATCAGTGTGGTTTATTCTAAAGACTCTGTAGATTAGCCTCCCTGGTATAAAATGTATTCTTTAAAAAAGATTTATTTACCACACAAAGGGTGATTACATTTATAACACAATTTTAAGTCAAGATTACTAGTACTAAACATTTATTAAAGTTTATTATAATGTGAGCCATACAAATATTTACTGAGAAGGTAATTAAAGATGAATTCTTATAAAACAACACCGCCCTGTAAGCTTTAGAAACAAAGAATATACATAACCATTAACTTTGAAAAGTCATTATTTTGAAGTTCACCGTCTTGAGATCAGTATGTTCAAACGATGAAAGTGGTGAAGTAAATACTACAGCTCTTACAGGAGCAAAGGAAGGACTTTACCTTTGGGGGATTGAAAGAAAAGTAGGGAAAGAAGGGATCTGAACTAGGTTGATGTGGGAAGTCCTTCTGTATATGTGCTTTTACTGGTTACTGAATAAAGAAACTGCTTTGAGCCTATAGCAGGGAAGAACAGAGCTAGCCAGGGAAAACTAAACTGAATGATGGAAAGAAGAAGGCAAAGTCAGGGAGAAGCCATGAAGCCCCACCAGAGACAGATGCCAGACAGAACCTTGCAGGTAAGCCACAGCCACGTGGTAATATACAGATTAAAAGAAATGGGTTAATTTAAGATGTAAGAACTAGCCAATAAGAAGCTAGAGGCCAAGCAGTGATTTAATTAATACAGTTTCTGTGTGGTTATTTTGGGGCTGAGCAGACAGGAACAAACAATCACCCTCCTACTACACCTTAAGAAAATTCCATTAAAGAAGAAAATAGAAACATGCACAAGCACACACAAGCACACACGCGCACACACACACACATGGCCCCTGATGTTGAAGAATTGAGGCTGACACTTGTCTATGGACATGTGTCCACACAAGCTGGGGAACCTTGGTCACTGGCACTCATGGGTACATCCTCTCACACATGGATAAATAGAAAACACTTTGAATTTACATGTCTACCTTCTAGACATACGTGTAATTTTACTGGCAAAAGTTTGAAATTCAGAGAGGAAACTTACGAATTTGTAGGCAGTCCGTACAGCAGGGGTGGCTTTGGTCACTGCTGTATTGAACAATGCACCTCCTTTCTGAAAGAAGAGAAATGTTTTTAAAGACTTGTGTGAAAAGCATTTCCAGGAGTACAGAAAAATACTTGTAAGTTGAAGACCTGTGCAATTATTTCCAGTCCTTTTAAGAGTTTGTATTTTATACTAATTTAAAACAGGGTCTAAATATTCTACTGTGTTCTTTTATTTGGTGTAAAGCATCAGTTAAGGGTCAGGTCATTTTATCTCTGAAGTATGGCTAGAAGAGTAATGTGGACAATACTGAATATAGATTTAAAGTTTCCCAGTAAAAAGAATATCATGTTTATCAGCTGGTTTGATGTTGGGCAATAAAGAGTTTTCCTGTTTAAAAAAACATAAAAGAAAACTATGTTATCCAATAAACCTCATCCAATCGTGCCACTGCACCTTAGTCCTCTGTCTACTTTCTGTTGCTGTGACATGGACAAATACCGACTTCTAGAGGACAGGATTTATTACATCATACAGGTTGGAGTCCATCATCAAAGGAAGCCAGGATAGGAGCTCAAGCAGGAACCTGAGGGGAGGAAGCTGCTCACTGGCTCCCACCCAAGTTCATATTCAGCTGCCTTCTTAAACCTCCCAAGATCACAGTGCCCAGGTGGCACTGCCAACAGTAGGCTGGTGCATCACTCCCTAATCAAGAAAATGTCAGACAAACATGGCCAATATAAAAGTGGCCCTTGCTCCATTGAGGTTCCCTCCGCCCAGGTGTGTCACGCTGTTAGAAACTAACCAGCACACTGGTGTTTGGAAGGATAATACAAAAAGAAAGGCAGATGTTGGCTTTAAATAAACATTTTATTTATCTGAACTAAATATTTTCATTTTAAAATTTCCTTTATAATTATCAACAAACTACAAACAAAAAATATGCTCAAAGTATGATAAAATATACACATTTCAAACTGAATGGTGTTAAGTGTAGCCAGAGTACTTTCCCTGAACTTTTCTCTACACCTTCTAGAGGAAAAAACCGAAATAACCAAAGCCTGATGCTTACCTTGACTGTATGCACCCACTGTTGATACGACCTCGGGCTCCCTAGAACATAAAAAGTTAGATGCCAGGAATCATTGCTAAAACGTGAACCTAGAAAGCAGAGCTGGCGCAGCTGGCCCTCCTGTGAAGTCAGCACGGGGTTCTAGGACTGAGTGGGCAGTAATAGAGCAGTCAGGACTCACACTACACAAGCACTGTTCCCAATTCACACTTGAAGCTAAGGCTTTGCTATGTTCTCTCGTTTTTATATTTGCTTTTCGACGGAAAATAGAACCTTAAAATTCAGCATGTCTATACTTTTAAAAATAATTTTTAATGTTTTATGTCCATTGTTTTAAAATGTATATTTTATACAGCTAGGTACACTTAAAACATTTCAAATGTAAAGAAGAATGAAGAAATAACTGTGAAACGTAGAAAATTAGGACAAAAAATTGTTTTGTATTTTTTATTTATTTTTTATTTTTTTTAATTTTTTTATTTTTTAATTTATTTATTTATTAAAGATTTCTGTCTCTTCCCCGCCACCGCCTCCCATTTCCCTCTCCCTCCCCCAATTAAGTCCCCCCCCCCTCAGCCCGAAGAGTATGTTCCCAATAGAACATCCCCATTGTCTCAGTGTGTGGGTGCACCCCTTGCGGTCCTGAGTTCCTTGCTCCTGCTCTCTCTCCTTCTGCTCCTGATTTGGACCTTGAGATTTATGTCCGGTGCTCCAATGTGGGTCTCTGTCTCTGTCTCCTTTCGTCGCCTGATGAAGGTTAATATTCAGGAGGATGCCTATATATTTTTCTTTGGGTTCTCCTTATTTAGCTTCTCTAGGATCGCTAATTATAGGCTCAATGTCCTTTGTTTATGGCTAGAAACCAAATAATAGTGAGTACATCCCATGCTCCTCTTTCTGGGTCTGGCTTACCTCACTCAGGATAGTGTTTTCTATTTCCATCCATTTGCATGCAAAATTCAAGAAGTCATTGTTTTTTACTGCTGAGCAGTACTCTAATATGTATATATTCCATACTTTCTTCATCCATTCTTCCATTGAAGGGCACTAGGTTGTTTCCAGGTTCTGGCTATTACAAACAATGCTGCTATGAACATCGTAGAGCATATACTTTTGTTGTATGATAAGGCCTCTCTTGGGTATATTCCCAAGAGTGGTATTTCTGGGTCCAGGGGTTGGTTGATCCCGAATTTCCTGAGAAACCGCCACACTGCTTTGCAAAATGGTTGCACAAGTTTGCATTCCCACCAGCAATGGATGAGTGTACCCCTTTCTCCACAACCTCTCCAGCAAAGGCTATCATTGGTGTTTTTTATTTTAGCCATTCTGACAGGTGTAAGATGGTATCTTAAAATTGTCTTGATTTGCATTTCCCTGATCGCTAAGGAAGTTGCGCATGACCTTAAGTGTCTTTTGGCCATTTGAACTTCTTCTGTTGAGAATTCTCTGTTCAGCTCAGTGCCCCATTTTAAAGTGGTTGATTAGCCTTTTACGGTCTAGTTTCTTGAGATCTTTATATATTTTGGAGATCAGACCTTTGCCAGTTGCGGGGTTGGTGAAGATCTTCTCCCAGTCAGTGGTTTGCCTTTGTGTGTTAGCGACAGTGTCCTTTGCTTTACAGAAGCTTCCAGTCTCAGAAGGTCCCATTTATTCAATGAGGCCCTTAATGTCTGCGCTGCTGGGGTTATACGTAGGAAGTGGTCTCCTGTGCCCCTGTGTTGTAGAGTACTTCCCACTTTCTCTTCTATCAGGTTCAGAGTGTTCAGACTGATATTGAGGTCTTTAATCCATTTGGATTTGAGTTTTGTGCATGGTGATAGATATGGATCTATTTTCATTCTTCTACAGATTGACATCCAGTTTTGCCAGCACAATTTGTTGAAGATGCTCTCTTTTTTCCATTGTATACTTTTAGCTCCTTTATCGAAAATCAGGTGTTCATAAGTTTGTGGGTTAATGTCCGGGTCTTCTATTCGATTCCATTGGTCGACTTCTCTGTTTTTATGCCAATACCAAGCTGTTTTCAATACTGTAGCTCTGTAGTAGAGTTTGAAGTCAGTGATGGTAATGCCTCCAGACGATCCTTTGTTGTATAAGATTGTTTTGGCTATCCTGGGTTTTTTGTTTTTCCATATAAAGTTGATTATTGTCCTCTCAAGATCTGTGAAGAATTTTGATGGGACATTGATGGGGATTGCATTGAATCTATAAATTGCTTTTGGTAGAATTGCCATTTTTACTATGTTGATCCTCCCAATCCAAGAGCAAGGGAGGTCCTTCCATTTTCTGGTATCCTCCTCAATTTCTTTCTTCAATGCCTTAAAGTTCTTGTCAAATAGATCTTTCACTTCCTTGGTTAGAGTTACCCCAAGATATTTTATGCTGTTTGTGGCTATCGTGAAAGGTGAAGCTTCTCTGATTTCCCTCTCTGCTTCCATATCCTTTGTGTATAAGAGGGCGGCTGATTTTTTGCAGTTGATCTTGTATCCTGCCACATTACTAAAGGTGCTTATCAGCTGTAAAAGTTCTTTGGTGGAGTTTTGGGGGTCGCTTATGTACACTACCATATCATCTGCAAATAATGAAAGTTTCACTTCTTCCTTTCCAATTCGAATCCCCTTGATCCCCTTATGTTGTCTTATTGCTATTGCTAGAACTTCAAGCACTATATTGAAGAGGCATGGCGAGAGTGGACAGCCTTGTCGTGTTCCTGAGTTTAGTGGGATGGCTTTGAGTTTCTCTCCGTTTAATTTGATGTTAGCTGTCAGCTTGCTGTATATAGCTTTTATTATATTTAGTATGACCCTTGTATCCCTAATCTCTCCAAGACTTTTATCATAAAGGGATATTGAATTTTGTCAAATGCTTTTTCAGCATCTAATGAAATGATCATAAGGTTTTTTTTTCTTTCAGTTTATTTATGTGATGGATTACATTGATAGATTTGCATATGTTGAACCAGCCTGCATCTCTGGGATGAAGCCTACTTGATCACGATGGATAATTTTTCTAAAGTGTTCTTGGATTCGGTTTGCCAGTATTTTATTGAGATTTTTTGCGTCGATATTCATGAGAGAGATAGGCCTGCAATTCTCTTTCTTGGTTGGGTCTTTGTGTGGTTTTGGTATCAGGGCAACTGTAGCTTCATAAAAGGAATTTGGCAATGACTCTTCTGTTTCTATATTGTGAAATACATTAAGGAGTATATGTATTAGCTCTTCTTGGAAATTCTGGTAGAATTCTGCATTGAAACCATCTGGTCCTGGCCTTTTTTGTTTTGTATTTTTTAAATAGCAATGTATGCTAAAGGCACTTGTATGTCAACATAACTAAATAGCACTTTTATTTTCAAAAATATTCTCTAAATTTATAAAGGAAAAAATTACTGGAAGAACATATGAAGAGAGCAAATATCATAATTATGAAAAACTTGACCTGACAGAATTACTTCCGACAAAAGTTGATAATTCAGGCTGGGAGATACTCAGTGGGCAAAATACCTGCTGTGCAAACACAAGGACCCGAGTTTGATCCAAATACAAAAATCCAGGTGTAGTGGCACACACATAACCCTAGTGCTGGGGTGGTAGACAGAGGCACATGCCTCTGCAAGACCCAGGCCACATGGTGAGTGACAGATAACGCACAAGAATGTACTTTGGCTTCCTCATCCACGTGTGTGGGACCCACCCAGGCCACAGAGATAAACAAACATGCACCCAACTCTGTCAATAAGCATATTTGCTTGTGTATAACATTAATCATTTGGTCAATGAGATGAAATTATTAGTCAGAAGAGAAACACATATCTGGCGCAGGAGAGATGGCTGAGCAGTTAATAACGCATGATTCTTGCAGAGGACCCAGGTCAATTCCCAGTACCCACATGGACTCACAGCTGTCTATACTCTAGAACCAGGGATCTGGCACCCTCTTCTGTCCTCTACAGGCATCAAGCATGAATGTGGTGCACAGAAACACATGCAGTCAAAACACTCATACAAATAAATAAATTACCCTCCAAAAAACTTAGCAACACATATCTGAAAGTCTTTCAAACCAACTGACTACAGTTAGATTTTTAACTACCTTCTTAATTTTTACAAATTTTTACAACTCTTAAATTTTACAATCTCAAAAATTACAAGGGTAAAAGTCATTATTAAAAATAAAGTGGCTACTCAATCACTCTTGCAAAAAGGACCCTCAAGATACAATGTGTTCTTTTTATATGGTTGTACCTCTGCTTTAAAAAGAAAATACACCAAGGGCTAGAGAGATATTAAAAGCACCCATCTGGTTATAACTAAAACTGAAGAGCCAAGTTTTATCCCCAGAACCCACACAGTAGTTGGTGAGAACTGAATCCTGCAAGTTGTCCTCTGAAGTACACCTATGCATGCACACGCATGCACAACTGATAAATAAATGTAAAAATTGCCATCATCTTACTGCTATGTTCAGCAGTGCTAGAACAGCTGCTACCTGCCTGCTGTAGTAGACATCAGCTCAAAGTTGGGTAGTGTGATCTCAGCCTGGAGGTTTCTTGCTATTTTTGAAGCATTAACAAAAAATGAACACTGAAAAGTGCCGATTCTGGATTAATTTTATTCTTCAAATCTCTCCCTAACTTAAAAGGAAAATCAAGAATGAACTTTTAATTTGTTTTTTTCTTACAAATTGTTATAAAGAGCTCTTGCTGCATCTGTTCCTTTTTATTGAGAAGACAATCCAGGTCACACAATAGCATGGCTTGACCCCACAGATTCAGATATATATTTCCCTTGTAAAATGGTGAAAAACTTTCAAGTTATCCTGACTATCTATTTTCCAAATAAATTTTAATTTGTTAGCAATAAAAGCATATCTTTCATTCAGATTATCTTTACTTTTTTTTTTTTAACTTTTGAGACAGGGCCTCATTTAGCCCAAACTGATCTCAAATTCTTTATAAACTGAGAAGGGCCTTTGGCTCTGAATCCTCCTGCGTCCATCTTCCACGTGTGGAATCACAGGTGTGTACCATAGTCTCATTAGTTCATATATCCTCACAAATGACTGCGTGGATATTCATTTAGGACTTGTGCATTATTTATAATTGTAATGGATGGTGTTTATTTTCCCAAAATAAATTTTAAAAAGTAGAAGAAAAACAGAATAGTATGATAACAACTTAAGATTCAAGAGTAATTGCCAACCAAGAAAAAAAATACTAATGTATCAGCTACAAAAAAAAAAAAAAACCAGCTGTGGTAAAACGTCATAGCAGTTATAGGAGGAAATTAAATGTCTTCCTTAAAATTCTAAGGTTACGTTCACATTCAGCTCTTTATAGGTTGTGAGATGTTTTCATCTACTGTACATTGTCTGAGCTGTATTTCCTTACTATAAAGCATGCAAAACAGGCAGTCCCATGAGAACGATGGCGTCTCTAGTTGTGGCCTGGACCTCTAGAGTGCAGGGCTACTCCATGGAAGACACCACTGGGACTAGTTCCATTTGCAAGCAACAAAATTAAGAATCAGGTATTTTAAAACCTGGTTCGTTGTTTCTTCAACTTTGAAACACTGCATCAAGGATTGCTTAATAACAAACAGAACAGACCACTTAAACAGCAGCTCCCTCTGTCTGGTTTCAAGTGATGACTACCTTCTAAAGGAAAGGGGTGCTGAAAGCCGGGACTGTGTAAAGAACACAAGTCAGGAAAGTAGTAAGGGCTGGATTGGTGGATGTCACGGGAGCGGGTTAGACCTCAGGCAGCAGAGGGAAAGGGGAATGAAGGAGCTAGAAAGGTTAAGGGGGAGGAGGTGAACTGGAGAGCAGGACAGGAGGAGCATGGGGAGGGGCAACTAACAAGACTTCTGGCTGGGAATGCCACAGTGAAACCTTCTACCATAAATCATTCGTAAAATATACTTAAACAGAAAAGTTTAAATAGAGTTGCTTTATAAAGGGGCACAACATCTTTACTAAACAACACCAAATAAAAAGAAAAAAAATGAATAAGTCCTATTGTTTATCTTTGCTATTTGAAATCTCAATGAATCAAGCATTTTTTTCTAAGAACAATATCTAGGTATTTCTAAGGCAATTTAAAATACAAAGAAAAATAACACTTGGCTGATATTTTTATTTTTAAAAATACTTTCACATTCAATCAAATTAATAACTATAGAAATGGATTTTCCTTTCGATAAGCATTGCTCCCTCAGATAGAAAGTAGGAGCTGAAAATCATTTTAATCATAATAAAAACCAATAAACAACCTGAATTAAGTAGCTCACTAAGTCAGATGCTGACCAAGATCACATCCTCCTGTCCATATTTAAGCGCTATGGATTTTAGTTAAAATAATATTAACAATAAAATGAATTCATTATTCTTTTATCTCTCCTTTATTTCTACAGGTTCTGGACTAGCAGATATGACTACAGAAATTAAGTGTACAAAGGGATCACAGCTCTACCCCATTACTGTCACAAGATGTCATCTTCAATTCTACAAAAGCTGCCAGCCTCACGGGTCATAAAGATAATGAGGCAGCAGCTATGTAAATACTGAGTGGATGCCTCAAGCAATTTGTCCATAAGCTGACAATATTTTGCTTGTCTGTGTTGAATAGTGAAAAAGCGTCATTTTAACACAAAAGTTCCATTGAAGCTAAATTTCTGCCCATGAGCTGAGAAGTGGGAGCTGAAAGAATCCACAGTCAGCTCATGCTGAGTCAGTGGATCCCACAAGGGTCTGTACTTCTGCCAGGTGAAATTCTATGGCCACCAAGCTCATTTGCTCTCTTCTAAATGAACAAATTCTCTTCAACCATCTATTTCTATGTTTTATAGCTGACAATAAGTATCATATAAGCATAAAGTAAAGGTGTAAAATTTGAAGCTATGTACATATTATTTTTATCTTTTCAAATCTAGTAACTATTTATTCAAACATAGACTAAAAACCTGGCTATCAAAGCAAACCAACAAAGAGGTCAAAACAAACACCAAGCCAGAGAGAGAAGATATGGTATTCAAGTGGGTCTCACAAATAATACAGAGCAGTGTACTCAGCAATCTTGCTTGGAAGAATCACTGAGACACTGGAGGACTCCAGGAAAGTCCTCTGATGCCAGGACTACACAGTACATCTGCCGACAACATGTCAACACATAAATCATTACTTACGTAGATTACGGCAAGACTGGATATTTACACTGGGAAGCCCTTCTATGTTTGGAATGGTAAACGTAGAACTTTGCAGACTAGAATTAGCAGTGATTCCCACACAGCACTTGCTGAAACAGGAAGTAAGCACGAGGCAGTCCAGTGCTTTCCCTCCACCACACTACAGAGCTCTACCCTACCAGTCTCAGGTCCAAACCCAGACTCAGCCACAGCCACCCCCACCACTACTAGAGAACCTACTTAGTGGGAAAGGGAAAAGGATGGAAATTAATTGGAATTCTGTTGTTTATTCTCAATAATACTAAGAGATTATTAGAGCCAATAACTACCAAGTTATGAAATAACCTTCCTGCCTTGATCATGAAAATAAGCCCATAGCACAGCTCATATAAGACAAAAATCATACATAAAACATTGTGTGTTTAGGAGAAAATGATTGTTTATAAAAATACATATATCAGAGATAGACACAAAGATCAGATGTTGTCTAGAAAATGGACAATCATACTCGAAATTGTCTTTACCTCCAGAGAAGCCACCCGAAGTGATCTCTTCTTCGAATATATCAGAGAAACCCCTTCCTGCATTAAGCTTTGCCAGTCGACCATCAATAAACTGAAATTTAAAAGTTTCAAATGTTAATTTTTCATAATAACATTAAAAATTACTTATAAATACAGAAAAGTGAGGGATATGGATATGATAAAAATAAGGATGTAAACAACAATGAAAGGAATCATAATATTAACAATTTATATAAAATAAAACCATATAATAATGTAATTCTGTGTATAGATACACGCATATACAGTTTTAATGAACTTTTCTCATTTGGCTGACAATGTTCCCTCCAAGAACCAAAGACCACATAACAAAAAACTACAATACTAGTCATGAGAAGCCATCTTTTGAGTTGTTGACCAGGGCTGTGCAAAAGACTCTCAGAACATACAGTCTAGTAAAACTGCCTTCCATTGCCTCCAAAGGTGGAAGGTAAGTCTTTATTGCTGAAGACACCATGCACTTCAGACATGGGGCAAAGGGATCCCTGAGGTGGAACCAACCTGAATTTCTCTTCCCTCTCATAGTATCAGAGGGTACCATATAAACTTCCAGAGGAGAGAGATAACCAACATTCTGCCCAGCTATGATGCATATGAACATTAACAACCAGCAAAGCATAAGGGTGCACTAATGGCACACATACTATGTAAATAACAGCTCTCTAACTGTTAAGATTCACTCGATAGAGGGGAAACCTTGCCTAGTACTGGAAACCTAGCCAACTACCAGTGCTAGTAAAGTCATGGATATTGGAGGAGACTCTACAACCACTACTTTACTAAACCAACATGATTCTAACAATAGTCTATAAACATTTGCCCTTATGCCCACAAATAAGCATACTTTTCCTCACTAAGGAAACTTCTCTTTGCAACAGATGGAGACGACTAAAAAAAACTACAACCAAATAAAATGAAGAGTTCTGGAGACCAGTTCCAACAGATACATCTTACAAAACAAGTCCCACACCTAAGGCTCACATAATGTTACAGAAGATGGGGATGGAAAGGTTTACAAGCCAGAGGGTCAGTAAATTTTCTGTGAGACTGTGTCTCTTAGTAATATTAAAAGCTACACCCATAAACTCTCACAAACATGACTGCCCAAACATAAGCTGAACAAAAACAGTAAGAATAGACATGCCACAGCAGGTGGGAAAAAACCCACGAAGTCACACTCTACACAAAGAACTACAGGCAATGAAGTAAAGCTGGGAGTAGGGAAGGTGGTCTTCTCAAGGGATGAGTACATCAATTCTTTGTTCAGTGCCAAAAGATCAACCCTGAAAACATTCTGTGATGGTCTGAATAGGTCACTACCTATACTCACCCTAATAGACTCCTACGTTTGAATGCTTGGCCTATAGAGAGTAGTAGCACTATTAGGAGGTGAAGCCTTGTTGGAAGAGGTGTGTTACTATGGGGGTGTGCCTTGAGGTCTCATATGCTCAAGCTACACCCAGTATGGGACACAGTACACTTCCTATTACCTGTGAATCAAGATGTAAAACTCTCAGTTACTTCTTCAGCCCATGTCTGCCTACATGTCACCATGAAATAATGGACTAATTTTCTGAAACTGTAAGTCAGCCCCAATTAAATGTTTTCCTTTATGAAAGTTGCTGTGGCCACGGCGTCTCTTCACAGCAACAGAAACCCTAACTAAGACACATCATATAAGTAACATTATCAATACTTATATTTAGGCTTATGTATATATTATAGGCCATGAATTTGAAGTAAAGTGGGTAAGGGTGTTTGGGGGGTTGGGAGGAGAAAAGGGAAAGGAGAAATAAAATTATAATACAATCTCAAAATAAAAAATTTTTAAGTGTTACTCATAAAAATGCATATTTTAACACAGAAATATGCATATACAAGTCATACACATACACACAGAGACACTCAGATACACACACAAGAACATTCTCAAACAATACAAAGAGTGGGCACTTGGTGAAGAGCCATTTATTAGTTCAGTCACAAGTGCTTAGCTCAGGCTCTCACTGTCCTAAAGCCAAGTGCAGCAATGGACACATGCTTGGTACAGTCAGTATCCCCTAATATTATCCTGATAATATCAATATTCACCAAAAAACATTCCTTGTCTAAACTATGGGGCCCTTAACTATAACCAAGTACCAAGAATTTCTAACCATTCAATAATAAAACAAATACAGTTTTGGTGACACAAAGTATAATTGTGGCTGAAGGATCAGATTTAGGATTATTAGCTTAAATATCAAGGAAAGCACACATTACTATGATTTGTTTAAGGTCCCTTTAAATAATGTTTTCAGTGTTCTTAAAGAAGAGACTTGAGTGAGAAGTGCAACTTCCATAGGCCCTGCACAACCTTTTCACGATGCAACTGCCCTAGACAGTGCACATCTGTTCAAGTGAGGGCAATAAATATATGAACACCTTCAAGTATTGACAGTATTGAAAACACTACAGATATTGACAGATGACCAGAGCAGGGGAATATCAATAACATATATTAAATACACGCACACACACTTGTCCCTTGTTTCATTCTGCTTGTTTATTTATAGTTTGTCGTGCTAATAATGACAGTGAAAGGTCTCTAAGGCCGTCCTGTATCTTTCAGGGAAGGACATATCATGAAATATTTTAGTTGTTTTTTGAAGATGTAAATAGTAATAGTGAGCTTTAATATTTATTCCAAAGTTTTTTTAAATTTATTTATTTATTAAAGATTTCTGTCTCTTCCCCGCCACCGCCTCCCATTTCCCTCCCCCTCCGCCAAATAAGTGCCCCCCCTCCTCAGCCCGAAAAGCAATCAGGGTTCCCTGTCCTGTGGGAAGTCCAAGAAACCCGCACCTCCATCCAGGTCTAGTAAGTTGAGCATCCAAACTGCCTAGGCTCCCACAAAGCCAGTGCGTGTTAACTCTCACTGCAATTTTAATCCCAGAAATTAAAATTTGTTTGTTTTGCTTTTTCAAGACAGGGTTTCTCTGTGTAGCCCTGACTGTCCTGAAACTCAATTTGTAGACCAGGCTGACCTCAAACTAACAGAGATCTACCTGCCTCTGCCTCCTGAGTGCTGGGACTAAAGGCGTACACCACCACCTCCTATAGAAATTTAAATTTTAACTGAATTAAAATTACGTAACTTGACTTAAAAAAATAATCTCACATGGTGCACAATTATTCTATTTGAAGAGATAAAGCAGGAATTCCATTGAGAGGAGCTGCACAGAGCAATGCAGTATTCTCCAGGCAATAGTTCACAGTAATACTTCAGGTTTCCCAGCTATAATATACAACTTTCAAGAAAAACTTTTATAGAGAAATTAAGCAACAATGGCAAATAAGTTAATGTATGATGTTAAAAATGAAGTGTAGCCATTTTTATCATACAACTGTTTTTATCACAAGTGTGAGGTGATATGTCCAAACAGACACAGCCTAAAATGGTAGTTTTGGCTTTTTTTTTAATATTTATTTATTTATTATGTATACAATATTCTGTCTGTGTGTATGCCTGCTGGCCAGAAGAGGGCACCAGACCTCATTACAGATGGTTGTGAGCCACCATGTGGTTGCTAGGAATTGAACTCAGGACCTTTGGAAGAGCAGGCACTGCTCTTAACCTCTGAGCCATCTCTCCAGCCCTAGTTTTGGCTTTTTTATATCTTGAGTTATTCTTAAAATCTTCTAATACTTTGAAACAGAGACCAAAGATTATCCATTTTATGCCTTCATAAGCAGATCATGCAGAAGGTTTCCTGTGGTGTAGATGCACAGAGTGGGCATGTGAAAGCCAGCATCAGCACTCTACTGCAGAAGCAGCTTTATAATCCTTGGCTACTTTTTACCACTAAGATTCTCCTTTTCCAACAATTAAACACCACTAACTTTTGTGAGAGTTAACTAACATAGTACTCAGGAAAAATACTAAGTAATAAAGTTTTTTCTCCCTATTACCAGTGTGTTTCCAAAGTTAATCAACTGTGGGCTTCCTGAGAAACAGGTTATTGTGTTGCCCATGGATGCATCTTCAGTACAAGAGCACTGCAAAACCGCCTGGCATACAGTTATAATTATGCTTTAGTTTGCTGATAGTTGGAAAAACATAGTGCCTTGCTCTGCTACTGAGCTATGGAAATAGACCCAGACACATAGTTTAAATGGAATAAAGCTGAAGGGATAAAGAATATTCAAAAATGTTAAAGGCCATATATTTTTACTTGGCTTTAAAGGTTCATAATTACATCTATGTGGAGAATCAACATTTTATCTTTGGATCAAAGTCAGTAATTTAATGTCGATGTCTTCACTGTATACAAAAGTGATTAATTTGAAAATAAGACAGTTAAAGAAACATTTAAATTTTCACTTGTATGTGTTTTAACACAGAAGTATAAATCAAATTAAAGTGATATAAATCCAGAGACTAAGAATCGTCTTTTAAAGTATAGGGTGAAAGGAAAGCGATAAATTTAAAGTAATATATTACTGGCAAGGAGAATCCACTAAGGCATCCTTTTAAAGGAATTAATTTGTTCTAAAAGATTAAAAATATAAGACTTTTGAAAAGGCTTTTCCTCTTTGTTTATGGGACAGAATCCATTTATTTTATTAAATGAGTGGAATAGTTTGAGTCAGAGAGAGAGAGAGAGAGAGAGAGAGAGAGAGAGAGAGAGAGAGAGAATTCCAAAAGTATGTAGGGATTGTGAACTTCTGGGCATGAGTACCTAGTTTATGTAAGTAAACTGGTGGGTTAAGCCAGCAGAAATGAATGACTTGGTACAATGTCATGTGCTATCACTGGTTGTGCAAACATCCTGCCATCGACAATCCAACACTTCTCTAAGTACAGAGTAGGCGTTTCACACACACACACACACACACACACACACACACTATAAATCCAGATACACAGATGCTGGTAGCAGGCACGGGTGAGCATGGTATTAAGGGAGAGGAGCGCTCAATGCCACAGTTGCCCAGACTCCTTTATTAATGTGTATTTCAATAGCAGCTCTTCCTGACTTGATGTGGCTCGTAGTCACCCCACTGGCCTAT